AGGAGGGGGAACAAGCAGGAGGGGGACAAGCAGGTGGGTAAGAAGCAGGAGGGGGAACAAGCAGGAGGGGGAACAAGCAGGAGCGGAACAAGCAGGAGGGTAAGAAGCAGGAGGGGGACAAGCAGGAGGGGGACAAGCAGGAGGGGGACAAGCAGGAGGGAGACAAGCAGGAGGGGGACAAGCAGGAGGGGACAAGCAGGAGAGGGACAAGCAGGAGGGGGACAAGCAGGAGGGGGACAAGCAGGAGGGAGACAAGCAGGAGGGGGACAAGCAGGAGGGTAAGAAGCAGGAGGGGAACAAGCAGGAGAGGGAACAAGCAGGAGGGGGACAAGCAGGAGTGTAAGAAGCAGGAGGGGAACAAGCAGGAGGGGGAACAAGCAGGAGGGGAACAAGCAGGAGGGGGACAAGCAGGAGTGTAACAAGCAGGAGGGGAACAAGCAGGAGATGGAACAAGCAGGAGGGTAAGAAGCAGGAGGGTAAGAAGCAGGAGGGGAACAAGCAGGAGGGGGACAAGCAGGAGGGGAACAAGCAGGAGAGGGAACAAGCAGGATGGTAAGAAGCAGGAGGGGAACAAGCAGGAGGGAGACAAGCAGGAGGAGAACAAGCAGGAGGGGGACAAGCAGGAGGGGGACAAGCAGGAGGGGAACAAGCAGGAGAGGGAACAAGCAGGAGGGTAAGAAGCAGGAGGGGAACAAACAGGAGGGGGACAAGCAGGAGGGGAACAAGCAGGAGGGGGACAAGCAGGAGGGGGACACGCAGGAGGGGAACAAGCAGGAGAGGGAACAAGCAGGAGGGTAAGAAGCAGGAGGGGAACAAGCAGGAGGGGGACAAGCAGGAGGGGGACAAGCAGGAGGGGGACAAGCAGGAGGTGAACAAGCAGGAGGGGAACAAGCAGGAGAGGGAACAAGCAGGAGGGTAAGAAGCAGGAGGGGAACAAGCAGGAGGGGAACAAGCAGGAGGGGGACAAGCAGGAAGAGGACAAGCAGGAGGGGGACAAGCGGAGAGGAACAAGCAGGAGGGGGACAAGCAGGAGGGGGCACAAGCAGGAGGGGGACAAGCAGGAGAGGGGACAAGCAGGAGGGGGACAAGCAGGAGGGGGACAAGCAGGAGGGGGACAAGCAGGAGGGGGACAAGCAGGAAGAGGAAAAGTAGGAGAGGGACAAGCAGGAGGGGGACAAGCAGGAGGGGGGACAAGCAGGAGGGGGGACAAGCAGGAAGAGGACAAGTAGGAGGGGGGACAAGCAGGAAGAGGACAAGCAGGAGGGGGACAAGCAGGAGGGGGACAAGCAGGAGGGGGACAAGCAAGAGGGGGACAAGCAGGAGAGGGACAAGCAGGAGGGGACAAGCAGGAGGGGGGACAAGCAGGAGAGGAACAAGCAGGAGTTGGGACAAGCAGGAGGGGGACAAGCAGGAAGGGGACAAGCAGGAGAGGGACAAGCAGGAGGGGGACAAGCAGGAGAGGGAACAAGCAGGAGGGTAAGAAGCAGGAGGGGGACAAGCAGGAAAGGGACAAGTAGGAGGGGGACAAGCAGGAGGGGGACAAGCAGGAGAGGGACAAGCAGGAGGGGGACAAGCAGGAGAGGAACAAGCAGGAGTGTAACAAGCAGGAGAGGGAACAAGCATGAGGGTAAGAAGCAGGAGGGGGACAAGCAGGAGGGGGACAAGCAGGAGGAGCACAAGCAGGAGAGGGAACAAGCAGGAGAGGGACAAGCAGGAGGGGGACAAGCAGGAGAGGGAACAAGCAGGAGGGGAACAAGCAGGAGAGGCACAAGCAGGAGGGGGACAAGCAGGAGGGGGACAAGCAGGAGAGGGAACAAGCAGGAGAGGGAACAAGCAGGAGAGGGACAAGCAGGAGGGGGACAAGCAGGAGGGGGACAAGCAGGAGGGGGACAAGCAGGAGGGGACAAGCAGGAGGGGGACAAGCAGGAGAGGGAACAAGCAGGAGGGGAACAAGCAGGAGAGGCACAAGCAGGAGGGGCACAAGCAGGAGGGGGACAAGCAGGAGAGGGAACAAGCAGGAGAGGGACAAGCAGAAGGGGGACAAGCAGGAGGGGGACAAGCAGGAGGGGGACAAGCAGGAGGGGGACAAGCAGGAGGGGGGACAAGCAGGAGGGGGACAAGCAGGAGAGGGAACGAGCAGGAGAGGGACAAGCAGGAGGGGGACAAGCAGGAGAGGGACAAGCAGGAGGGGGACAAGCAGGAGGGGGACAAGCAGGAGGGGGACAAGCAGGAGGGGGACAAGCAGGAGGGTAAGAAGCATGAGAGGAACAAGCAGGAGTGGAACAAGCAGGAGGGGGACAAGCAGGAGTGTAACAAGCAGGAGAGGCACAAGCAGGAGGGTAAGAAGCAGGAGAGGAACAAGCAGGAGGGGGACAAGCAGGAGGGGGACAAGCAGGAGGGGGACAAGCAGGAGGGGGACAAGCAGGCGGGGGACAAGCAGGAGGGGGACAAGCAGGGGGTGTAACAAGCAGGAGAGGAACAAGCAGGAGTGTAACAAGCAGGAGGGGGACAAGCAGGAGGGGGACAAGCAGGAGAGGAACAAGCAGGAGAGGAACAAGCAGGAGGGGAACAAGCAGGAGGGGAACAAGCAGGAGAGGAACAAGCAGGAGAGGAACAAGCAGGAGAGGAACAAGCAGGAGGGGGACAAGCAGGAGGGGGACAAGCAGGAGAGGAACAAGCAGGAGAGGAACAAGCAGGAGAGAAACAAGCAGGAAAGGAACAAGCAGGAGGGGAACAAGCAGGAGAGGAACAAGCAGGAGAGGAACAAGCAGGAGAGGAACAAGCAGGAGGGAACAAGCAGGAGAGGAACAAGCAGGAGAGGAACAAGCAGGAGGGGGACAAGCAGGAGGGGGACAAGCCGGAGGGGGACAAGCAGGAGGGGGACAAGCAGGAGGAGGACAAGCAGGAGGGGGACAAGCAGGAGGGTAACAAGCAGGAGGGGAACAAGCAGGAGAGGCACAAGCAGGAGAGGAACAAGCAGGAGAGGAACAAGCAGGAGAGGAACAAGCAGGAGGGGGACAAGCAGGAGGGGGACAAGCAGGAGAGGAACAAGCAGGAGGGGGACAAGCAGGAGAGGAACAAGCAGGAGAGAAACAAGCAGGAGAGGAACAAGCAGGAGGGGAACAAGCAGGAGAGGAACAAGCAGGAGAGGAACAAGCAGGAGGGGGACAAGCAGGAGAGGAACAAGCAGGAGGGGAACAAGCAGGAGAGGAACAAGCAGGAGAGGAACAAGCAGGAGGGGGACAAGCAGGAGGGGGACAAGCAGGAGGGGGACAAGCAGGAGGGGGACAAGCAGGAGGAGGACAAGCAGGAGGGGGACAAGCAGGAGGGTAACAAGCAGGAGGGGAACAAGCAGGAGAGGCACAAGCAGGAGGGGGACAAGCAGGAGGGGAACAAGCAGGAGAGGCACAAGCAGGAGAGGAACAAGCAGGAGTGTAACAAGCAGGAGAGGAACAAGCAGGAGAGAGAACAAGCAGGAGGGGGGAAGCAGGAGAGGGAACAAGCAGGAGGGGGAACAAGCAGGAGAGGCACAAGCAGAGGGGGCAAGCAGGAGGGGGACAAGCAGGAGAGGCACAAGCAGGAGAGGGACAAGCAGGAGGGGGACAAGCAGGAGGGGGACAAGCAGGAGGGGGACAAGCAGGAGGGGGACTAGCAGGAGAGGCACAAGCAGGAGGGGGACAAGCAGGAGGGGGACAAGCAGGAGGGGGACAAGCAGGAGGGGGGACAAGCAGGAGGGGGACAAGCAGGAGGGGGAACAAGCAGGAGGGGGACAAGCAGGAGGGGGACAAGCAGGAGGGGGACAAGCAGGAGGGGGACAAGCAGGAGGGGGACAAGCAGGAGGGGGGGGACAAGCAGAAGGGGGACAAGCAGGAGGGGGAACAAGCAGGAGGGGGACAAGCAGGAGGGGGACAAGCAGGAGGGGGACAAGCAGGAGGGGGACAAGCAGGAGGGGGACAAGCAGGAGGAGGACAAGCAGGAGTGTAACAAGCAGGAGAGGAACAAGCAGGAGTGTAACAAGCAGGAGTGTAACAAGCAGGAGGGGGACAAGCAGGAGAGGCACAAGCAGGAGGGGGAACAAGCAGGAGGGGGAACAAGCAGGAGGGGGACAAGCAGGAGGGGGACAAGCAGGAGGGGGACAAGCAGGAGGGGGACAAGCAGGAGGAGGACAAGCAGGAGTGTAACAAGCAGGAGAGGAACAAGCAGGAGTGTAACAAGCAGAAGTGTAACAAGCAGGAGTGTAACAAGCAGGAGTGTAACAAGCAGGAGGGGGACAAGCAGGAGAGGCACAAGCAGGAGGGGGAACAAGCAGGAGGGGGAACAAGCAGGAGGGGACAAGCAGGAGGGGGACAAGCAGGAGGGGGAACAAGCAGGTGGGGGGGGACAAGCAGGAGGGGGGAACTAGGAGATGGAGGGAGGATGAGGAAGGATGGTTAAAGATGCAGTGTGCGCCTGGTGCTGCCACTCACTTGCTCTCTCTCTCTCTCCCTCCCTGGTGACGGGGGTGTGCTGGCCGCTCCCGCCACCACCCCAAGTACTGTCCACTCTCTGCTCCCCGCCCTCTCTCTTCCTCTCCTTATCTCACCCCTTCGCTAATCATTAATACGCTCCCAAGGTGTTTTATTCATCAATATTCATTAGTAAAATACATGGAATCATAAGGGGGAGCGGGTGTTTGAACAACGGTCGATGGAGTTTGGGTGATCATAACAAGAATCCGTTCGTGAATCCGGCAAGAATCCGTTCGTGAATCCGGCAAGAATCCGTTCATGAATCCGGATTTAGGAGATGGTCAAGTTCTTCCCCGCTTTCCCCAAACATTTGGAGTAGTCGATACAGCCTCGATCTCGTTTCTTGCAGTTGGGAGTTGAGTCCCCTCATGGGACCTGGGGAGTGGTTGGGCACCATTGCGTGACGCCCCAGCTGCCCGTGCTCCCTCACAAGGCTGTGTGGTCGTACTACAAGAGGCTCACTATAAGTATATCACATTCGTTGGTTAGCGTATGTACACATTTCTCTTGTGTGTTGGGACCGCCAGTCAGCCTCAGGCAACACAAGAAGAAGCAACGGAAGACGTAGGAGCGTTAACGGTAAGTGAAGAAGCAACGGAAGACGTAGGAGCGTTAATGGTAAGTGAAGAAGCAACGGAAGACGTAGGAGCGTTAACGGTAAGTGAAGAAGCAACGGAAGACGTAGGAGCGTTAACGGTAAGTGAAGAAGCAACGGAAGACGTAGGAGCGTTAACGGTAAGTGAAGAAGCAACGGAAGACGTAGGAGCGTTAACGGTAAGTGAAGAAGCAACGGAAGACGTAGGAGCGTTAACGGTAAGTGAAGAAGCAACGGAAGACGTAGGAGCGTTAACGGTAAGTGAAGAAGCAACGGAAGACGTAGGAGCGTTAACGGTAAGTGAAGGAGCGTCAACGGTAAGTGAAGGAGCGTTAACGGTAAGTGAAGGAGCGTTAACGGAAAGTGAAAGAGCGTTAACGGAAAGTGAAGGATCGTTAACGGTAAGTGAAGGAGCGTTAACGGAAAGTGAAAGAGCGTTAACGGAAAGTGAAGGATCGTTAACGGTAAGTGAAGAAGCAACGGAAGACGTAGGAGCGTTAACGGTAAGTGAAGAAGCAACGGAAGACGTAGGAGCGTTAACGGTAAGTGAAGAAGCAACGGAAGACGTAGGAGCGTAGGAGCGTAACGGTAAGTGAAGGAGCGTCAACGGTAAGTGAAGGAGCGTTAACGGTAAGTGAAGGAGCGTTAACGGAAAGTGAAAGAGCGTTAACGGAAAGTGAAGGATCGTTAACGGTAAGTGAAGAAGCAACGGAAGACGTTGGAGCGTTAACGGTAAGTGAAGGAGCGTCAACGGAAAGTGAAGGAGCGTTAACGGAAAGTGAAGGATCGTTAACGGTAAGTGAAGGAGCGTTAACGGTAAGTGAATGAACGTTAACGGAAAGTGAAAGAGCGTTAACGGTAAGTGAAGAAGCAACGGAAGACGTAGGAGCGTTAACGGTAAGTGAAGGAGCGTCAACGGAAAGTGAAGGAGCGTTAACAGAAAGTGAAGGATCGTTAACGGAAAGTGAAGGAGCGTTAACGGTAAGTGAAGGAGCGTTAACGGTAAGTGAAGGAGCGTTAACGGTAAGTGAAGGAGCGTTAACGGAAAGTGAAAGAGCGTTAACGGTAAGTGAAGAAGCAACGGAAGACGTAGGAGCGTTAACGGTAAGTGAAGGAGCGTCAACGGAAAGTGAAGGAGCGTTAACGGTAAGTGAAGGAGCGTTAACGGTAAGTGAAGGAGCGTTAACGGTAAGTGAAGGAGCGTTAACGGAAAGTGAAGGAGCGTTAACGGAAAGTGAAGGAGCGTTAACGGAAAGTGAAGGAGCGTTAACGGTAAGTGAAGGAGCTTTAACGGTAAGTGAAGGAGCGTTAACGGTAAGTGAAGGAGCGTTAACGGTAAGTGAAGGAGCGTTAACGGTAAGTGAAGGAGCGTTAACGGTAAGTGAAGGAGCGTTAACGGTAAGTGAAGGAGCGTTAACGGAAAGTGAAGGAGCGTCAACGGAAAGTGAAGGAGCGTTAACGGAAAGTGAAGGATCGTTAACGGTAAGTGAAGGAGCGTTAACGGTAAGTGAAGGAGCGTTAACGGTAAGTGATGGAGCGTTAACGGAAAGTGAAAGAGCGTTAACGGTAAGTGAAGGAGCGTTAACGGTAAGTGAAGGAGCGTTAACGGAAAGTGAAGGAGCGTTAACGGTAAGTGAAGGAGCGTTAACGGTAAGTGAAGGAGCGTTAACGGTAAGTGAAAGAGCGTTAACGGAAAGTGAAGGATCGTTAACGGTAAGTGAAGGAGCGTTAACGGTAAGTGAAGGAGCGTTAACGGTAAGTGATGGAGCGTTAACGGAAAGTGAAAGAGCGTTAACGGAAAGTGAAGGATCGTTAACGGTAAGTGAAGGAGCGTTAACGGAAAGTGAAAGAGCGTTAACGGAAAGTGAAAGAGCGTTAACGGTAAGTGAAGAAGCAACGGAAGACGTAGGAGCGTTAACGGTAAGTGAAGGAGCGCTAACGGTAAGTGAAGGAGCGTTAACGGAAAGTGAAAGAGCGTTAACGGTAAGTGAAGGAGCGTTAACGGAAAGTGAAGGATCGTTAACGGTAAGTGAAGGAGCGTTAACGGTAAGTGAAGGAGCGTTAACGGTAAGTGATGGAGCGTTAACGGAAAGTGAAAGAGCGTTAACGGAAAGTGAAGGATCGTTAACGGTAAGTGAAGGAGCGTTAACGGAAAGTGAAAGAGCGTTAACGGAAAGTGAAAGAGCGTTAACGGTAAGTGAAGAAGCAACGGAAGACGTAGGAGCGTTAACGGTAAGTGAAGGAGCGCTAACGGTAAGTGAAGGAGCGTTAACGGAAAGTGAAAGAGCGTTAACGGTAAGTGAAGGAGCGTTAACGGAAAGTGAAAGAGCGTTAACGGTAAGTGAAAGAGCGTTAACGGTAAGTGAAGGAGCGTTAACGGTAAGTGAAGGAGCGTTAACGGAAAGTGAAAGAGCGTTAACGGTAAGTGAAAGAGCGTTAACGGTAAGTGAAGGAGCGTTAACGGTAAGTGAAAGAGCGTTAACGGACAGTGAAGGAGCGTTAACGGTAAGTGAAGGAGCGTTAACGGTAAGTGAAAGAGCGTTAACGGAAAGTGAAAGAGCGTTAACGGTAAGTGAAGAAGCAACGGAAGACGTAGGAGCGTTAACGGTAAGTGAAGGAGCGCTAACGGTAAGTGAAGGAGCGTTAACGGAAAGTGAAAGAGCGTTAACGGTAAGTGAAGAAGCAACGGAAGACGTAGGAGCGTTAACGGTAAGTGAAGGAGCGTCAACGGAAAGTGAAGGAGCGTTAACGGTAAGTGAAGGAGCGTCAACGGAAAGTGAAGGAGCGTTAACGGAAAGTAAAGGAGCGTTAACGGTAAGTGAAGGAGCGTTAACGGTAAGTGAAGGAGCGTTAACGGTAAGTGAAGGAGCGTTAACGGTAAGTGAAGGAGCGTTAACGGTAAGTAAAGGAGCGTTAACGGAAAGTGAAAGAGCGTCAACGGTAAGTGAAGGAGCGTTAACGGAAAGTGAAAGAGCGTCAACGGTAAGTGAAGGAGCGTTAACGGAAAATGAAAGAGCGTCAACGGTAAGTGAAGGAGCGTTAACGGAAAGTGAAAGAGCGTCAACGGAAAGTGAAAGAGCGTCAACGGTAAGTGGAGGAGCGTTAACGGAAAGTGAAAGAGCGTCAACGGTAAGTGAAGGAGCGTTAACGGTAAGTGAAGGAGCGTTAACGGTAAGTGAAGGAGCGTTAACGGAAAGTGAAAGAGCGTCAACGGTAAGTGAAAGAGCGTCAACGGTAAGTGGAGGAGCGTTAACGGAAAGTGAAAGAGCGTCAACGGTAAGTGAAGGAGCGTTAACGGAAAATGAAAGAGCGTCAACGGTAAGTGAAGGAGCGTTAACGGAAAGTGAAAGAGCGTTAACGGTAAGTTAACTTGATGTTAAGTTTGACCATCAACTTGCTGGTCGCCTAAGTTGATGTTAAATTTGTGGTTCATTAGGGTACTAAGTTATCACCTGTGTCCCCTTGTTCGTGTCCCACAAGTGCTGAAGAGTTTGTCTTTGTCCACCCTGTCAATTCCCCTGAGAATTTTGGAGGTGGTGATCATGTCTCCCTTTACTCTTCTGTTTTCAAGCGACGTGAGGTTCAGCTCCTTTGGCCTTTCCTCGTAGCTCATACCTCTCAGTTCCGGGACGAGAAGTGGTGGCATACCGCTGAATCTTATCTAACTTTGTCTTGTGTGTATGTGTATTCACCTAGTTGCATTCACCTAGTTGTGCTGGCGGGGGTTGAGCTCTGCTCTTTCGGCCCGCCTCTCAACTGTCAATCAACTGTTACTAACTACTGTTTTTTTCCCACATCACACACACCCCAGGAAGCAGCCCGTGACAGCTGACTAACTCCCAGGTACCCATTTACTGCTAGGTAACAGGAGCATCAGGGTGAAAGAAACTCATTGCCCGTTGTTTCTCGCCGGCGCCAGGAATCGAACCCGCGACCACGGGATCACGCGTCCATCGTGCTGACCAGTCAGCTACCGGCCCCTGTGTGTGTGTGTGTGTGTGTGTGTGTGTTTATCTTGGCAGTCATTTGGTTTTAGCAAACAGACCAACTGAGGTGGCCCACTGTCTTGATGTGTTGTAATAGAGTATCATTATCTCTCTCTCTCTCTCTGTCTCTCTCTGTCTCTGTCTCTCTCTCTCTCTGTCTCTCTCTGTCTCTGTCTCTCTCTCTCTCTCTCTCTCTCTCTCTCTCTCTCTCTCTCTCTCTCTCTCTCTCTCTCTCTCTCTCTCTCTCTCTCTCTCTCTCTCTCTCTCTCTCTCTCTCCCATTCTTTAAACTAAGACTAAGAGTTCATTAGGAATGGGTCTGATATCTTAATTAAACTGCAAGCTGAGAGTCGAGATGTTATCCAACAACAGTTTATCTCAAGAGAATGAGCTAGGCTTCCCATCTTATGGCATCAGCCACAAATTTAGCGGCTGAAATTAGAAATCAGCACCATTGCGTTGGTCAAACCGGAAAACTATTTTTTATTTGTATTTCAAAGACTAACTAAACTAACCTAACCTTCCTAGGCCCAATACACGATATGAGGCGTTGCATTTAGTGTAAGAATTTATAATTTAAAATATTAGCGCTCTCCTGGTGTTTTTTCTATTAATAAATATGGAAATACTTATGTTGGTTCTGTAATGAAGAATGATGAAGATACAGGGGATAATATTCTAATTATTTACTGAATTAATGCAATGGTGATTATGCAGCCCGTCCTCCTAAGGTGCCCAAACGTCAAGAAAGTGTCGTACTAAAGTGCTCTTATCCTAACCTACCAGAGGACCTACCAGATAATGAGGTAAGCAAGATTGTTAACAGTGTACACAGTATGAACAAAGTGTACATACTGTGTTAGTGTACACACAGTATGGACACTGTGTACATACTGTGTTAGTGTACACACA